TTGGGCTCCCTGACTAAGGATCCTGAGATCATGGTCATCGTTGGCTAGAGACACTTAGCGATATGGCTGGATGTCACAACCAGTGGCGCGTATGCATCTACTCATTCCAATCTTCATTTTGCTCTCTTATCCAAATGGGTGATCAAAAGTCAGTAAACGAAACCGTCGCACAAAAGTCCGGGGCTTAGGTTACTGTTTCCAGCGAAACAGCTGGTCTTCGCGAATATAGAAATCACTCTGCTTGCTGTTCATCACAAAAATATGCTATGAAAAAATGACTAAGCGTCGTAAACGGTGGTGTTCGTGTATCCGTTTAATATCCGTGCAACCGTGCTCTATCACAACTGCCCTGTTTTCTCTTTGACACCGATCTCAGCATTCCAATCTTTCCTTTACTCTTATCCAAACTGGCAGGCAAAACCGCCGAACGAAAGTGCCTGCGTGATAGTTGTTGAAACGGAAACTGAAAGCGCTGTAGTCAATCTTTATTACTGTTTTTGACCACTGTTCGAATAGGTCTACAATTAGGACCACCGTCTAAATCTGTTTCTCACTTCGAACTTCCATTCTTATGAACGTTATCGTCATCACGTGGTTTTATGAATCACAAATGGCTTTCCCCCAATATCTTACCGGAAAATTCCTCATTAACCTTTTGCTTGTCTCTTTCCGTCTCTACCGATTGTCTATCCGATTCAAGCCTACACTGACTGTTCTGTTGGATATCGGTCGTTTGGCGGCCGAGTGCGAGGCTAAATCCAAGCAGAAGCACAAAACGAAAGATCCATATGGACGACAAAGTGCTAGTTTTGCGGCACGTTATGGTGATTTGCCTTTGCTAAATCGAATTTTGGACATTGTGAAACTCCTCCCCACTCGTGCCGTCCATACGCAGCGTGATCTGTGTGCAGATATCTCGTCCGATGATTCCATGATCCAAGTCATGCAATCGGTAGTGACCGCAGCAAAACTGGGTAAGTTCACATCGGACCGTGCGCTGTTCTGATTTCATCGGTCGGTTCTGCACAGTTGGACTGTGTGAATCCTTCCTCTTTCTAAATGGGTTGGTCCCCGGAGCAGCTGTTTGAATGTTGCAGAGTGCATGTTCCTTATGAAAATGATCGTTTATAAATGCTGATTTGATAGTTCGTGTGCATTGTAGCGATTCCAATATATATA